GACGGAAGGAGTGAATGGCGGAAGGAGAGAGGGGTCGAGGGAGGGAAAGTTGAGGTGAAGGACGTTAATTTTGTTGAGCAGGAGATAAGCAGAAGGAATCGGGCGAAGATGGGTCAATCTATCTTGGGGGAGATCCCGCTGGAAAGAATCGCTGAGCTGCCAACGGTGATGCAGAATGTCTGCTCCTCCTCCTGACGCTCTCTGACTCGTCGCTGACAGATGCTGTATCGCGCTCTCCGACAAGAGGACCGAGAGCAGGTCTAACGTTTCTCTTTCACTTTCTCTCCCACTTCTGAGATTCTCCTCCTCCTCCTCCTCCTCCTCCTCCTCTTGCTGTCTTCTCCCTCAACTCCTTCTTTTCAGTCTTGCCTTCTCCATTCTGCTTCTTTCTTCTGATACCACTCCTTATGCCCCATTATTCCTTCCCCTCCTCCCGAGATTCTGCTCCCTTCTCTCGTCCTCGTCCTCGACCTCGTCCTCGTCCTCGTCCTCGTCCTCGTCCTCCTCCTCCTCGTTTCGGCTGATAGCTGTCGATAGCTCCTGGCGATCCACGAGGAATGTTTTCCGGTCCGATACGAGAAGCACTTCTACGACAAGGCGCTCGAGGTGAAAATGTGCTGAACCTCTACGAGACGATCTCACGTGTACGGGGCCAGGGGGAGCACTTTTCTGTGGCAGCTTTCATCGCTGGTAGATGATGATGATGATGGAGATGATGGAAATGATGATGACGATGATGATGATGGAAATGATGATGATGATGGAAATGATGATGATGATGATGGAAATGATGATGATGATGATGATGATGAAATGATGATGACGATGATGATGATGGAAATGATGATGATGATGATGATGTGATGATGATGATGGGATGATGATGATGATGGGATGATGATGATGATGATGAATATGATGTTGAACAGGACTTCTGACAAGCAGCGCAGGAGAGCATTCAGCTCACGTACACACTCCGAGAGGAGTTGTGAACTCGCTCAAGTACAGCAAGGAAGCGATGGAGTGGAGCACGAGCCCTGCTTCTAGGTTTTGACTGCTCCCCCTCCCCTCCCCTCCCCTCCCCTTACTTTCCTCCCTTCCTCCCTCCCTTCTTCTTTCCCTTTTCACCATCCTCTCGTTTCCTGCTTTCTTGTTATCTTCTGCTTCCATCTTCGCATCACTTTCACCAGCTCCTCCCCCTCTCATCTCCTTGCAGGCCTCCTGCAGAGTGCTCGTCTCCCCCTGTCGGACACGAGCGAGGATCCGGGGAGGAGATGGCAGCAGTGATTATCTCACAGATCAGCTGCCAGGTATGAAAATTCTCCCTGATGCTGCTACTCCTCCTCCTCCTCCTCCTCCTCCTCCTCCTCGTCCTCGTCCTCGCTCTCATCTTTCCTCTTGTTTTCGTCCTCGTCCTCCTTGTCCTTGTCCTTGTCCTTGTCCTTGTCCTTGTCCTTGTCCTTGTCCTTGTCCTTGTCCTTGTCCTCGTCCTCCTCGTCCTCGCCCTCGTCCTCCTCCTCGTCCTCCTCCTTGTTTTTGTTTCCTCTGTGTCGGCTGAGATTTGCAAGCAGCAAGAGTTCCAAGATGACGTGCTGCGGGATAAGAACAAATTGCACAAGGTAAGTGACGGATGTTTAAGAAGGAAGTGTAAGTGCGAGTGTGAGAATGGGAAGCGGAAGAACAGCAGGAAGAACAGCAGGAAGAAGAAGAAGAAGACAACGAATACGGAATGATGATGATGATGATGATGATGATGATGATGATGATGATGATGATGATGATGATGATGATGGAAATGATGATGATGGAAACGATGATGATGATGATGATGGAAATGATGATGATGGAAACGATGATGATGGAAACGATGATGATGGAAACGATGATGATGATGATGATGATGATGATGATGAGACGAAGGGATGATTGCATTTTTCATCTTTTCTCACAGGTCGCCTACATCTGCACTCTTGGCGTCTGGCCCAAATATCGTCAACACAAGCTTGCCAAGACGCTCTTACAGGTGCGACTAAGACGAGAAGTGATGGA